ACAACACTTGTTTATAGGGTTCATTTTTGTGGATGGAAATATTAATTTTTCATAGAATCTATTGAACCGTAGCTTTTGATTTATGCATCTCAATCTGGACTCGACGACATGAGTATGTCATAAAGAGCTGTTGTGTGTTGAAATGTTATGTTCACAAGAAGTTAGAACCATCCAAAATTACATTTCGATCATTTTCGATCTTTTTTGATCATTTCATCAGTACCACACCCTTGGTTAGCACGAGACAGTAAGGATGTAAACCATGAATTATCCAACTTCTTTATTGAAATAAGTTCATGCTTTGTAACTGACCTCTTCCCTTCTAAGAAACCAGTATAATCCTTAAAACATAGCAAATGATACTCGATCGAACAAATCTTAGAATCTTATAGAACTAATTAGAAAATATGCTAAGACCTTCTGAATAACCAAATAATAGATAACAGAACAACTCTTAATAACAGATCACGAGTGGGACTCGAACTCATATTATAAAATTTTTGGTAAAATGCTTCTACCACTGAACTATCAGAGGTTGTTCTACTATATGACCAAGTCCAATAAATAAAAATTCCATTGTTTTCTGTGTCTTATTGTCAAGATTTAAAATTCACTGGCTATTACAAGATTTTATAATAGATTCAAACATGTGAATTTTCTACGAAGATTTTGCATTAATTCTACCCATTTCAAAGAACGTCCCAGACAAACTGGAAAGCTAGTTAAGCTTCTCATGTATTTAATACAAGTAAAATGTCTTGGTTGTTACTATTCAAGAGCCAACTTCAACTGATAGAGCTCTTCAAAAAATTACAAACTTTAAGAATTGTTGAGAAAAATTATTTAATTATCCTCATACATTCGTGCTTATAGAAATATGAGGATAATTAAGGTTAAAAATTAAAACAATAGTTTTATAAAATAACATGCATTCTAAAGAACATCCAGAACATGCACACTTGCCTCAAGCAGCACAAAAGTCAAGACAATCCTACAACATAGCATCCTTAAATCTAACCTAAAGCAAAATGCGTTAAAGTCATTGAAACTATACAATAAAGAATCTCTCACAATGCTCACCTACTTCTGCTCACATTTGAAAAATGGATGAACGTAATTAAATAGAAAAAAAAATATTCTCTCAATCTTTTCACATTTAAATAAATATTTAAAAAGAAAATTTACCACATATATATACATCCACATCTGCATAATTATCTAAAATAAGTGAAAGAAGCAAATTTTCAATATGAGTTATTATCTATTCTATCAACTTGATGGTTTACTTTATTTACTTAAATTCAAGCCACAAGATCGCTGTCATGCTGTATAAGACAGGCAGTATGAGTACATTTCTCTCTCTTGTGTTTCGATTGATTGATGTCTTAAATTTGGTTAAATAAAAAAAGAAATCGAGTTGAGTTTATCTTGTCTTGATACATTGAATATTTATGTTATTTTAAGAAAGATTTAGTAATCAGGAACAGGCACTTAATCCTGATGATAAATATTTTTTTTGACTGTGATTCAGAGGATTTTTTTTTTATGGCAAAAAAAGTTTTTTTTTTTGGCGAAACTAGACTCAATGTTGATGACTTGGTTGTCTAGGGTACTTTAAATGGAGCTAGACTAAAAGATAAGGCATGGAAACTCAGGATTAATCCTGAAAAATCCCCTGACGCATTTGAGAAAAAATTTCAGGATTTAAAAGGGATTTCACTTTTTCATGTTTATTGGCTCAGGGACATTTTAGAATTTTTCAGGATTAATCCTGAGTGTCCACGCCTTGCTAAAAGGTATCTCTTTTGTCATGACTAGGGTCCATTTTATTTTAAGGGTCCTTGAACTCTTAAGTGTTCAAAATTAATGCTTGATATGAATCTGACCATACGGATTACCGTAAGCTATAGCTTCAGTCCAAGTAGGGTACAGTCCACTGTTAGTGCTGTTGCTATTTTTGACCAGATCCTAGTCACATCTGAACTTAGAACAAATTTATGGTTCATAAGGTACCCAAAAACCCCCGACAGCCCCTGCAACCTCTTAATGATCCAAGCTTCAACCCTGAACAACACAAAATAAATTTTTCATCTGTTCGAAATTATTTAAAATCAACTGACTGTATCATCTATGTGTCATTTACCTATTCTTTACACATGTCTATCTATTAAACTGTAAACATGCATTGCCGCATTAATTCCTTGCCAAATGAAAATATTTAACTATACTTCGTGCGTATAATTTGACTCAGACTTGATGTTGGATTCTTTTTTATAAAAAAAATATTCACGAATAAAACAAATTATTTGAGTTGTAAAAATTTTTCTCACATATACAACACAGATGGTTAATTTCACGTCATTTTGAAAACTGCAAACAAGAAAATAAAAACTAATTTGCAGAAAATAAAATTTTTAATGATCAACAACTTCTTTTTTTTTCACTCATTTTAATTAAAATTTAAATTATTTTTATATGTAAAACTAAATTCCAACAGATAATTATTATAGCACTTAGTAAAAAAAAGCAACAAAACAGGCGTTTTAACAAAAAAGAATAAAATTATTGAAACATTTTGCAATTTGGGCGTCACTTCAAATGATTTTTATATGAGGTGTGAGAGCTTTTTATTTTGTTCTTCAAAGTTTTTTGAGGATGGTGATTCATTAGGATAATTTTTATGGGATTTTAGTTGTTTGGAATAATTGTTATATCCTCTTATGAGGTTGTGTCCTTATTAATTGTAATGTCATGAAGCTATTGCAGGCAAGACTAGCTTTTTGATTGACTTGCTGGTTCAATGTGATCTCAAGAGTGCTGAATTGATTAAAATGATTAAAAATAGTCAATCATCATTGTGATATCTTATATTAAGGCTGTTCAACTGCACACTTTTGAGAGGTCCCACTTTTTTGAACAAAGTCCAGTCTTCCTTTTGGAAATGCTTCAAAATTTGGTCTGCCTACTTTTTCTGAACTTAAATCGGGACACATCCCACTTTTTGACCAAAAAACGTCCAAACCGATTAACAGCTTACTTATAGAAGATTATAGTCATGAATTCTAATCAGCTAAAGTGCTTATATGGCGCAGTAGTTTAGTGCTTTGGTCTTTTGGATTACCACAACACTGTGTGAGCGATCCAGAAGATTTAGGTTCAAATCTCGTCATTAAAATTTTTCTAATTGTTGCTTTTTTGAGCCACAGTGGCTTTTGAGCACAAATCTAATAGTTGCATATAAACGCTTTAGGTAGAGTTCCGAGACAGGTTTCTTGTCAACTGGAACAGGTGACAGTTGTAGTGCTTATCGAGAGGCACTGACAGGTGACAGATAACTAGGGTGACCATCTGCGTAGTTTTACAACGGACAGTCCAGTATTTCAAAACCCTGTCCTGTATAAATTTGAAAATTTTGTTCCAGGTCCTGTATTTTTTTCACGAACATTTCCGTTAATTTTCAAATTTTTCTTTGTGTCCTGTATTTTTTAGGAAATTTATCAAATGTCCTGTATTTTCATAAAAATTAGATTGTCACCCTACAGATAACTGACATATCGCCAATCTAGCTTTAGGCAAGAAACAAAATCAAAAAGAATAGTTCAAAATAAAGCAGTTGTTCCTAGATCTTAGTCTGCATGCTAATCACATGTTCACACTAGTCATACCTCCTAATAATCATGACTCATCTATTAAATATCTTATTCAGAATCTACAAAATATATTAAACTGTAATCTTTTTGAAATATTTACTCAAGAAAAAAAAATCATCTGATTTCGACAGATTTTTCATGACTAATCCCAATGAATCACCTTCAGTTCTCAGAAAAATAAAATAAAATGAATCTTTCTGCATTCATCAACGTCAATCTTTATCGCATTTAAAAAACACTCTAAAATTAATCTTCAAAAGCATTAAAATTAATTCTCTTTGTCTAGACATATGCATTGTACTTTCAATTTTTTAATCACTGACTTCCTATCTAAATCCCAACAAAATTTCCTTAAGGATTCTCTTTTTTTTTTGCTCAACAACCATCCAAAAAAAAGTTGTACTTACGATAAAAAGCTACAAAATAGAAAAAAGATAGAGGAAATATGAATTATGGAGGTTGAAATCATATTATTGCACACTTTAAGCACATGCAGGAGTGTAATTGGAAGTGGAAGGAGTGTCTTAGTGTTTACTGATTATTCCTATGAGACACACTTAATACACCCCAGCACATGCACATGAAAGACGAAAAAAATAGCGGAAATAATTCTAACTATAGTTCTATACATATAATTCATGTGAATATCAGGCTACAAAGCATATAACATAATAGTTTGTGTGGATATAATCATAGCCATTTAGAAAATGTGCGCTTTCTTTCGTGAAACGAGAAATGATCTTGATTCTTATGAGAACATCTACTTCCATACATATATTAAAACTTATTATGTCGCATGATGCGGATAAGGGTAGAACATACAACTTAAAGTGCCATTGTTAATATAAAAATAATAAAAATTATCATTGTATACACATAAAAAAGTGAAATGCCAAAAATGTCAGTGACCCCGGCTAATTGTAAATAAAAAAGAAAAATTCATCAGTGAAAAAAGACACACAAAAAAACGATTTTTTTTCTATCTCCATCATTCCTACAATCATGCTTTCTACAGTAACACTATCTAAAAATTTACTACAGTCTAATAATCTCTCAGTGATATAATGACAACTGCCTTCGACTTCTTCAACTTAATTAAAAAAACATTTTTAAAACTCTGTGATATAAAATGGCGCATAAAAGCACTAATAATCAGTTAAGTCATTTAAAAATTATGATGGTTACTTTCTGTTTAATTGCTGTTTCGGGAGGAATATCGAGAGTCTCAACAATGATGATGATTACAATGTTGTTAGGAAATTGCAATTAAATATCCTGAACCCAAAAAAAATAGATAGAAGAAGCAATTGGAAGTGTTTTGTGTTAAAAACTCAATTTACTTCATCGAATTTACGATTTAATTAAAAAATTCGCTTTCGAGCGTATCGTGAGAAAATAACAAAAGAGAGAAAAAGGAAGTAAAAATAATTTTTGTGAATGGAAAAAAGATGGAACAATTATGTGGGGGTTTACAGACAATCAGAAAGAAACAAAGACGAAAAAGAAATAGAAACGATAATAACATAAAAGTGCTTAAATGCGGATGACATTAAAATTTTATTTATAGAAATTAAATATTAAAGTCGTCACTGTTATTCTGACTTGTGGATCGGCTGCTGATCAATCATGTTGGATATATTTCGTGGCCTTAAATCTTTAGTGAAAATTAGTCATATACAAATTGACTCACCAGTATTTCGATTGCATTATTCAATTACTGTTATGATATTGGTATGTATTCTCATTTTTATTAATCCCATACTGTCATGGCTCAACGTCCTCCATAGCCATGACAGCGACAACAATAGAAGAAGACAAGTGATATTGATGGAAAATTAAATTTACTTCTATTACTATAAAGATTGCATTCTCGCTGATAGTCACAACCCGACAGTATGTAGGAAATCCAATTGATTGTGTACATACAAAAGATATACCGGAGGATGTGCTTAACACTTATTGTTGGATTCATAGTACATATGCACTCAAAAGCATGTTTCTCAAGAAAATTGGAAAGGAAGTGCCGTATCCTGGCGTTGGAAATAGTGAAGGGAAAATGGAAGACAGAAAAGTCTATAAATATTATCAATGGGTGTGCTTCATGTTATTTGGTCAGGTTGGTGTTTGAGACAAAACATAAATAAATGATGATAATGAAAAATAAACAATTTTAATCCTATTTAATCGGTGTGAATGGATGTTTAATCCGTTGCCATTGTTTTTTGACATGTCATTCAGGGTGTGTGACCATATGCTCGACTGTTATTGAATGCTGGTGGTGTATTGTTTTGAAATGGATAGTTTTTGAACTTTTTTAAAGATAAAAGATTTTTTTTTTGGAAAAGTTTATATTTAAAATTTCAAAAATCATTTTTTAAATTTTCAAAAATCATACTTTTACCTTTAAAAATTATTTTTTAAATTAAAACAGGTATTTTTTAATTTAAAAAAGCATATTTCAATTTAAAAAGTATTTTTCAATTTTAAAAATATTTTAATTTTTTATATATTTTTTTAAATTTAAAAATATCTTTTTTTTTCAATTGTAATAATATTTTTTCGATGTTGACTTAACATTCTTATTTGAAAAGAATATAATAAATTTAGTAAGTTTAAAAACTTTAAACAATTTTAAACATTGAAAAACTTGAAAACATTTAGGTTAATAATTTGAAAATTTCGAAAATTTCGTTTAACAGTAAAAAGAATTTCGTTTTAAAACCCAAAATGTTTTTTTTTGTTTTTTAAAAAGAAATTTTAGAATAAAAAAAAAACATTATTGTAGCAGCACGAAACTCTCCCGACAAAGCTCATCAGCTTTTATTTACAATTTTAAAACCTTAATCATCTCAACATTTACTCTCTTTTTTTCTACAAATCGAACAACAGACTTCAGCTGTTAAAAATGCCAATAATTAAAATCCCTGATATGGATTAATTAAATAGTCACTGTATTGTGAATTTATCACGAAAATATTCCATAGATGCATTGAAATATGTGACAGTGTCGTTTATGTCGCGCAATGTGTAATTAAAAGTACAAAATGTGAAATCAATTTCCCATAAAATTAATGTCATAATGAAATTTTTCCATGATAAAACGATTCCATGAGAGTTAGGGATAATTATTAATGCTTGATTAAATGAATTGTTATGAAAAAGTTTTTTTTATTGAATTTGTGATTAAAGATAAAAATGCTTTTGATTAAAAAAATGTTTTTGTGGATTGAATTTTCATGCGGATGTGTTTAATATTTCCTAGAATATTTTATGGAGGATGCGATGTCTATTAATTTAATTTTAATGATTCGTGGATTTTTCGATGGGATTTATTTATTGAGTATTATGGTCAGTGTTTTAGTCGATAATGGCTTATTTAAATTTTAAATTCAAGTTTATTTGGTAAATTTGCTGCTTAGTGTCCCTAAGTTTTAGCAATTTCTCGATCGTATAGCAATCATTCATGACTTTAGTAATTTTACAATTTTACACAGAAACATTAGACTAGCATTTCATCTCCACCCCCTCCCCCTATTCCACAACAAAAAAGCTCATCCATTAATTCAAATATTTATTAAACAAAAACTTTCAATTTCAAAGAAAATCAATCAAAATATTTCAAATTTTCATGTCTACCCACTCTAATGACTTTCTCTAAAAGTTCGATACAAAAAAATCTCTGAATGAATCAAACGAGAAAATTTCAATGAACTTCCCACACAAATTTAATTCACAAGTCTTTCTTTTTCATAGTAAAATAAAGTTTAAAATTACGATATTGCCAATGACATTTTCCATTTATGTTTTTCGACCTTTTCGTCTCTTTATGAAAAGCTCAATGATTCGTAGATTTCTGTGTGTCTCTGTCTGTGACAGCATTAGATACAATTTTAATAACAAGTTGATACAACAAGAATTACAGCAACAACTTTAAGGTCTACATTTCTTTATTATATTTGCTGATTGTATCGTCTGTGATATGAGATTTGTGGGTCATTTACTTATGGCATCTGATGCTTAAGAAGATAAAGAAGGCTGCACTGCATACAGAGACAAAGCTAGTATGGTTTCTAGAGGTTTTGTAAGTTTTGTAAGATTTGTCAGACTTTTGTTTTAAAATCCTAATATAATTTTAATTGTTGAGCATTTTAAAGGGTTTTTTACTTAAGGGGCCGTTCACTTATTACGTAACGCTTAAAAGGGCCCCTTTAGCCCCTTTCGCGTCTGTCAGAAAACATGATTTTTAAATACCCCTCGTCCCTTTCTTATAAAGCTTCAATGAAAAAAAATTCTTTTGTTTGAGCTAACGCAAATTCGTAGACTTTCCTCCCTCCTAAACGTTAGATGTCATTAGCAAAAGCTAAGCTCAAAAGAGGGATTTGACCCAAAGCCATCAACTTGTTGTATTGCATTATATATCTTAACTTTTCCTTCGTTTTGCACTTAATATCACACTGACAGATACGTCTTAATATGGTTCAATGACGGAGACATTACTTTGCTCCAAGTAAGGATCTCATTCACTACAATGCTATAACTGAGGTTTCAACTTGCATTACCATTAACACTTCAATTGAGGATCCAAAATCCTAATTTTTCACAAACATCATTTTTGTATAACCCTATCAAAATTCTACAATTTGAATTAATTCATAAGAAACTTCAGCCTGAGTTCTAATCAAAAAATCATATCAACAGAAAATGAATCACTTGACCCACACAATATGTCCATTTTCATATTCAAACAATATTTTCCTTCTGACGAGTTCACAAAGCCATGAAATATGTGACAAAAAATAAAGTCAATTTTGTATAGAATTAAAAGACGGACAAATAGAATGGGCATTAAAAGTAATAGAAACATATTGTCGCATAATTATTTTTCTGAGTAGATTTCTTTTGTAACATAATGGATAAAAGTATTCAAGTGTTATTCATGTTCATACTTGTTTTGTTCAAAGTAATATCGCAAAAATATATTTTTTTTATTTTGTTATATTGAATATCAAAAAAAAGCTTTCATTTCCATTTGAAAAGAATAATGGAATAATAATAATATCGTTGCGGAAGTTGAGATTGTGATATTCGAGGCAATTTAACGATAATCTAAAAATCGATAGTTTTTAGCGCATTTATTCAATAAAAGGGATTTTTCTGTGAGGATTTAATCTTCTTTTACGGCAAGCATCGGTATCAGTTTAAGCATTGGATATGCAAGATTAGAGATTTTTTGGAATTTAATTAGCATAATTCGAGATTAGCTGATATAAAATTTATGAAAATGTATTTTTGGAATATTCAGGATTTTAGAGACCCCCCGCGCTCAAATGCTTATAAACTTTTGGCTTTAGAAAGGGAATCGACCTAATTTTGTGAGATTCTACACCCACACTGTCCATCTTCCTCTTCAATGACGCTTCATTATTACTTACTTACTTCCTTGGCTGAAGCGCACGTGGGCCCATTGCTGAGCTTTGAGATCGTCTGAAGACAGCTTTCATCCTTCAAACTTTCTTAAATAATCAATTTCTCATTAAAATGTAATAATAAATTGCAATACGGATTGAAAAACTTAATCATAAAGTAATATCCATAAGAAAGTATATCTTTAACTCAACATCAATAACGCTGCTGGATGCGACGCTATGTGGCTTATTGCACATTAATTATAAACATTCTTTACTTCATTTCATTTCGTTTGCCATCCACTTGAAGCATAGCTTCGCTTTGTAATTCAAAAACTCCCAGTTCTTTTTTACATCCATTGACATTGCAATGTAGCGAATTCAGTTCTTTTTTTTTATTTCATTTTGTATATTTTCAAACCATAGCGTGAATAAATGAGCGAAACAAAAAAGAACCAAATTGGCATCGGTTCAAAAAAAATATAGAATAACGCATACCATGACGATTTCGATATTTTTTTTTGGACTTGAATATGTGGTAGAGGAAAAAAAACAATTGAAGGAAATTCCGGAAAAAAATCATACATTAATCGATTGTGCACTAATGTTCGTCGATTTTAAAATAGGATTTTTCAGATTTTTTTTTTCTTCTGTTTATTTGCAATGTCGCAATAATACCCATTTATCAGCAATCTCATGAAATCAAATGTTCGACATATATTTCACTCTATAGCTTTTATTTGCTTTTGTATGTTGGGATAGTAAAGATTCATTGGAACTAATTTACATGCACGAAAAGAGAGAATGAGAGAATTTTTCCGAGATTTACTCGATTCTCTTCTTGGCTATTTGTACGATAAACTATTAAGCGGCTCAAAAAGCAACTAGACGCATCGATAAATTAAATAGTTTAATGGGAATCGTCAGTCAATATTCTGGATCAGATGGATTTAATTGTATTGAAATAAATAAGAATTTGAATGGTTTGTAAATAGAAATTTTAATTAATTAAGGACGATGGGATGAGAATGGGTTGCAGAAAAAGATCTTTTGCTGAACTCTTATTGAGAGTGTTTGATGAATTCTTTGGGAAAACGTGATTACTAAGGGTCCTCGATTTAAATAGGATTTTTTGGAACAAAACACCTACTCAAATCGAAGACCCCCAGTATTTTAGTTCAAGCTAAAGTTTCGAGTATTGAAAAACTTAAAGAGCTAGGTGCAGATCTCATTAAAACTTACTCAGTTTCATTACATCTTACATCAGCGTTTCTCAAACTTTATCCCTATTGATCATTGTAGATGTGGCTCGAAGAGTATCAAGAGTAGATAAGCCTGAGCATAGGGCTCGCAGTGAAACTGGTTGTAAGTGTATGACGGATAACCGAAGTGAGATAAGCACCTCGGTGGCCGAGTGGCAGGGACCCTAATCGAGTGGTCAGAGATCGCGGGTTCGATTCCCATCAAACCCAACTTGTTTTATATTTGTATGCACATACGACAGTTATAGGAAGATCTATATTGGCGACTAGGAGTTCTTGTTCGCAACATAGAAGCTGCTTCAATTGACGAACCGAACTTAGAATTTTATCACGTGACACTGGGGCTCCGCGAAGGATAGTTTGAGAATCACTGTCTTCCATGCCAGTAATCTGCAATGTTGTTTACAAAGGAACAATGAAAGCATTTAAATATGAACAGTTAACATTAA